GAATTTTCTAAATGCTTCGAGAAATGCCTAACAAACAATAAAGTCAGTCAAAGCTGCTGTAGGACTTTTTTAATCAACATTGCATTGTGATCAGTAGGTGATGTGCACATGTTCTGTCTGAGTATTTATAACTTGCACATGTGAGCTGAGGTGAAGTGCAAGGGGAAGAAAACTCAAGGCACTTAATAACAGACCCACATATTTTTATAGTTGGTGTATAGTTACAAAACAAACATGCACACTAATAAATGACAAAAAAAAAAAAAAAAAAAAGTTAGCAAGCAGCGGCAGAGTGAGAGGGGATTCTCTTTTTCTCTTTCTCTCATTACAAACGAGATGCAATTCAGAAAGTTACACCATGGCAGTAGAGACCGGGGAACTATGGCAATTTGTCTGTAATCCCACCAACTTAAAGCAATACTTAACTGCAGTGGAAATGTAAAACTGAGATGAACTAAGCCGTACTAAACATCATTAAGAGCATCCAGTGCTGTCATTAGAAACCAAAAATGAAGTTCCGTCTATAAGCTGATGATCATTCCTATCTCACCTTTGTCCATCCTACACTTTATCGTTTGTGTCACCTCTTCCCACATTTGTCCTTTATCCTAGGGGCTGCGACCACAACTGTGGATAGGGTGGGGTATTGGTGGAAAGAATACAGTCTTCTGGGTAATTTCCTGGCCTGTATGTGTCGATAGTAGTACATTTGACAAGTGGAGGTGTGATGAGAAATGGCAGCTGAATGAAGCTGGTAAAATTGAGTGACACCTGTAAACCACAATGGTCTCAGTGCCAAAGCAGGAGTTATACCGTAGAAGAATAAAACGAGGAGTGATGGCAACAAAGGGCGAGACAGAATCAGATTTAATTGATCAAACTGCCTCAATAAATGTCACAGACAAATCATCCATAAGTAACTCATGTTTATCATCGATGTTTGATTGATTTTATGATAAAATGTATGCTTTTAATTGGCTGCTTCACACCTCTTTCTTCTCTTAAAGGGATAATTCTCCCAAAAATGAAAATTCTGTCATCGTTTATTTACCCCTTACTTGCTCGAAACATGTTTGAGTGTCACACAAAAACATATATTTCTAGAGTTCACACTAAGCTGATGATTGAAAATAAAGCGTGTTTGGTATGATGTCCCGGAAGAGGGGAGAGTTTGAGCTCAGGTAGATCTCAAGAGCTCCTCTAAATTAGTTCGCTCAGCCTATTCATTGATTTTTAAGGGTTTCTACAGAGGAATGAACCGCCAACTATATCAGCATATGGCTACGTGGTAATAAAACACTTACATACTGTGCCAATTTGTTTTTTTTCAATTCACCTATACCACGTCTTTGGACTGTGGGAAGAAACAGGAGTACCCAGGAAAACCCAGGCGAGCACGGGGAGAACATGTAAACTCCACACAGAAACACCAACATGCCCAGCCAGGACTCAAACCAGTAACCTTCTTGCTGTGAGGCGACAGTGCTAATCACTGAGCCACCATGCCACCCTGTCCTGGATTAATTTAGGAAAGCAGGGGAGGAGTAGGGGTGGATGGGGGATTCTTTAAAGCGAAGATGACTAAGTTAAGGAAATCTGGTCATTTATGTGTGTTTAGATTGGTAAATCATATGATAGCTAATGCAGGACCAGCCGTGGTCAGTCATAAGCATGTCATCCTCTCGAAATTAATATATAAATAAACTTCACTTTGAAGAAAGCTGGAAACCTGTAACCACTGACCTCAGAAGCATTTGCTTTCATACTGTAGAAGTCAATGGTTACAGGTATTCAGCTTTCTTCAAAATTAAAAAAAAAGAAAATTAATAAACAAAAATTCAAATTAAGAAAAAAAAAAGGTTTATAAACACTTGACGGTGAGTAAATAGTGACAATTTTCCTTTTGGGGTGAACTATCCCATTAATATTAAACTTCCAGTGGCAATTATCATCAACTTTTTGTTAAAATTGTAATGCCTGTGAAAATGTTTTGTAACAAATCAAAAGTATTTTTCATAGTCACATTTTTAATCACTGTCTGTGATCAAAGGGTGTATATAAAGCCGGGTGTTAAAATATGGAGATCATTCATTACCCTGGAGTCACCTTCACACAAATTACTCCAGCAACAAGTCCATGTTAGGAACAAAAGCTATTAAAAAGCCTGTTCAGAAGAGACTGATTATGTTCTGGACAATTGACCGTATGAAAAGAGAGCAAGAGCTGTGCGATGTGCAATCCCTTGTGACGCAGTAAAAATGTGGAGTGCAAATCTAAGAAAAAAGTCTCTCAGAAAGATGCTCAAGTGTGTTTTCTGAGCTTTTCAGCAGGCTGGAAGAACATCCCTCTCACAGGAGGCAACGGAGATAACTACTGCTAATGTGTTAGCAGGGGGTCACATTAAACAGGTTTTGTTTTCTGGTCAATGTCAACAAGTGTGGAAACACATATTGTGCATGTCTGGAAACACAGCAGTTAATTGGAGAGATGTTTAAGACACAAGTGGCTTCAACATATGAACAGTACTTGTGAAGAACTGGCCTTCTGTTTATTTATACTACTCGTGAACAGTACATCATTACACTATAAATACAGTTAAGTGCAAAGCAAATGCAGGAGAGAGTTTATGAAGGAGGGCTTAAATGTCATTAATCAGTTATTAATTAGTAAATGTAATATTTACATGTGTTTAAAGCAAGATATATTTATTTTAGCCTTCACTTTTTTAGATTTAACATATTTTTAATTAAGTTATTTTTCTCACCCTACTGGCAATGTTTCTTGCATAAACATAAGCCAAATTAATTTATACTTAATTTACAGTTTAATTCTAAAATAAATACATAAAATAGGGCAGAAAAAAACATTTAAGACACATTTCATATCCTTATTTTTGAACAGTACATTTCTGCCAGTTAAGAATGGGAACATTTTTACACCAGTGGTTCAGATTGATGGTGATGGTATAATGGTGTGTGGGATAAATCTCATGTGTCAACTCTCTTGTTTAAATTGCCATAACTAGTGTATCGTTGCTGGCCATGTCCATCCATTTGTGACCACAGCGAATTATATGCCAGAAAATATGCCATGTCACAAAACCAAAGTAATCTCAAACTATTTTATTAAACATGACAATACTTTCACTAAACTCACATGTTATCCACAGTCACCAGATCACAATTTAATAGACCACCTTTGGCATGTGAATGGGAGATTACAACATGGATGTGATGTTATCATGTCACTGTGTACCATAATCTTTGAAAAATGTTTCCAGCGCTTTGTTGAATCTATGCCACAAATAATGAAGCTAGATCTAACAGCAAAAGGGGTCTGAAACAGTACCAGGCCATGTGTACCTAATAAAGTGGCCAGTGAGTGCAAACACGCTTGTTCTTTTCTAGCAGCGCTGAGCCGAACACATTAAAACAAGCTTTGCTCCTAAAGTAATTATCCACTTTGATTAAAGAAACTTGCTTAATGTAATTACTTTGTACTCAAAATATTCATTTCATTTTTTGGAAGTGCAGCGCAGATCTTGTTTGTGTCAGAGACCATTATCTTTAATGAAATCTGACAATTTAATTTGTGCATGATGGCAGTGAGGTTGTAGTGATGTATCAGTGGGATTGGAGGAAGAACTCTAGCTTGTTGTCTGATGGTTGTCTGTGGACTTTGGCACACTGAAGTCTTCAAGGGCAATCACTGACCTGCTGATTAACATCTCACTCTATCAGATCCGAGCCATTTCAGAGCCATGATCTGCACTATGACAGCGAGTTTTGCTGTCTGATCTAATAAATTACTTTAGTGCACGTTAAAATCTTTGCACTTGTGATTTTAAATGTATTAAGACTGGAAAGTGTCAAACACATCAGTCAACACTCATTAACTACAGGGCCTACAATTCATATTTAATAGCAAAAGTTCAGCAAATGTATCATACTGTAAATATCATAAAGAAAACAATTATATTGATGTCATAAGAATAAGTGATCGAAGGAAAAAATCCTTCAGAAATGGCAAAGAAACAGGCATTAAAATACTGACTAACTTGTGAAATTAGAAAACAGAAAAGCTGCAGGATTATTATTATTATCAGTATTTTTGGTAACTGCAGGCAAATAATACTTAATCTTCTCACAAAAAGCATTTGCTGATTGCTAATTTTGAACCTTTTTAAGCCAATTTCAGTAGCCATGTTAATATTGGTCACTGCTCTAATGCTCTTGCAAATGATATAATAACTGTGATCTCAAACTAGCGTACCAGAAAATGGCTCTCAATTTAATTTCACTACTGCATAATAAATAACCATTTTACTGATTGTTTCAAAATTGTAGAAAGCAAAATGAAATCCCTGATATTTGAACCATAAATATTACAAAAAGGGCTTGTTTGCGAGTGCACACATTTGTGTAACCACCAGGAACGTTTACTAAATGACTTCCTGATCAGCAACTGACACAAATCAGTTTTCTTTTTCATTTATTCCAGCTTAATAAACAACTCCAACATATTTCTCCAGACGGGAAGAGATTGGGATTTCCCCATTTGAGGGCGAAGCCCGATCCACACATTATTCAACTCCAAAGCTGCCGTTCTGTCATGAGCAATTGATCCACATTCCATTGGGAAGACAGAGACAGATTAGGACCAATATTTGAACGAGCAAATACACATAAATATGACTAAAGTAATTAACGACAAACGAACGGAAAAGAACAGATTAATTATTTTGCGGATCACTTGGGGACGGCTCTTATGTTACTGCTGCTTAACTACCTCTTCACTCCGCCAAAGCCGAGATGAGCAAACAACAGCAAAACTGATAAACAGTGTGTGCTGATGCACTGCGCCTCTCTGAGGGAGGCTGATGGAATTCATTAGGCTTCTGTGATTATCAATTAAAACCCAAAAGCTCTTTGAATTAAGACAATTGCATTTCTGGAAGCGTTAGAATCATTAGTTGTGGGTTTGAAAAGAGCATTTCTTACCCGGCTGACTCCACGACCGCGGTCCTCACCGTAGTTGGTACCCAGGATCTCAAAGTGGATGTTGGGGTTGCTCCCATTATCATTAAACTCCAGCAGGCTAGTCAGACCACTTACACCTCCCTGTTAAATATACAAATGGAAACACAATTAAAAAGCGTTAGTTTGACAAAACTACTGTATGTGGGCAAAAACAGTTTGTCTTTTCGAGAGCTGTTATATTATGCGAGTGTATAATTCCCATCTCCAGTGTTAGTACAGAGAATGAATTTAACACATACCTTTCATCAGCACTCCTGTCCTAAAGCTACACTAAAGAACACAACAGTTGGGTTCCAGAAGACAAACTCTATTCATTTTCTCAATAGGAAAATTTATTTAATTATTTATTTAATTTTCATAACTGATAGACATTTAAATCTGACCTGCAATTAGTTCCAGGAATATTACCGGATATGCTTTTACCATCTGTTTACATTAATTCGACTTATTTTTAAAACAATTGCCTTGAATGACATTCAAGCCCAATTGGTTGTAAATAAAAAAAGGTTTAGGGCTTGTTCGAATACAATTTTTCAGAGTGTAGGGGTTGGCCATATTCTTCTCTTTAAGAAAGACAGGAATCTCTGGGTGTCTATCTATCTGTCTGCCTGTTTGCTTATTTATTATGTAAAGAACCACCAATTCACTTTACTCGTGGTGGGTGTGTTGCTAAAGTACAAAACAAAGTTTTTGTCATTTTGTTGGCTATAGATGTGACATGTTCAAAATGAATAAATTCGTAATAAACTACAGAACAGCAGGAGCATCACATAGCCAGGGCTTGCTCTGAAAACAGACACTGCAAGTGATACCAAAAAGACAGGTTTGTGAAGAGTAACGCATTTCGTAAGATAGCCTAGCATTTTTCTAACAAACAAATCACTCCGGGTGATACAGTAGCTCATTGATTAGCACTGTCGCCTCACAGCATAGTGGTTTCTGGTTCGAGTCTCGTCTTGGCCAGTTGGCATTTCTGTGTGGAGTTGGAATGTTCTCCCCGTGTTGTTGTTCTCCAAAGACATGCGCTATAGGTGAATTGAATAAATTAAATTGGCCGTAATGCATGTGTGTGAATGGATGTGTCCCAGTAGGTTGCAGCTGGAAGGGCATCCGCTGTGTAAAACATATGCTGCATAAGTTGGTGATTCTTTCCGCTGAATAAAGGGAATAGGCCAAAGGAAAATGAATGGATGAATAAGAAATTACACCTATAAACATGTCGAGCATGATGGCTGTGATATAGGAGCATGTAGCTATAGACAAATGATTATTCTGGGCTGTTGTATCTTTCATATTTCATATTCAAGTGCGAATGAGACTATTTTGCAGGAGATTTCAGGTGTTTAGGTGGAATATTCAAATATCAAAATTGAAAATTGAATGCCAAACCACTGAATAAATAATTAAATATTCTCCTATTCTCTTACCCTAAAAAGTTTATTTTAAGCCATGTATGTACAGTATCTATACACTTTTGTTTTATTCATCTATTCTAAATAATAAACTAGATTTTTGTTGTTTCTCTATATACAACCAATATATTTAAATATATTTAAATTCAGCTGTATTGTTCCCAATGCTGAATGGGACTGCAGGTCTCATTAAATTCCAGAAAATATACAGGAATCAGAGAATGAAATTCAGTACATTTTAAGACCTTTTAAGACTCTTTCCATACATTTGAAGACCTTTTTAACATTCTTTGCATAATTTTTAAGACCTTATTACCACTTTAGGTTTAAAATATCGCCAGAAACACTGGCAATATTTTAACATACATTATATTTACTAAATATTAATGTAAGAAACTAATCCAAAACTAAAACAATTTACTGTTCATATACTGAATACAAATCTATTAAATCTAGCTAATTCAGTAGGTTGGCACAAACAGAACTATGGAAATAATGGTGTTGCCTTGGTTACTGAATATACACAAAGTAGCATTATTAATCTTGCAAGATTTTTATTGATTTCATAAACTACATAGCATCGATATTAGCAGATTTCAGGCCAACTTTGGCATACAACCATACATTGCATATTCAAAATGAGTTTAATACCTTGCAAAATAGCATTTAAGACTTTTTAATAATTTTTAAGGGCCTTCAATTTCTTTATATTCATTTTTCAACTTTAAATACTTCTTAAGTACACCCTGAATCCATTCGATAGGCAGATTTGTACAGTACATTTGCCTTTTTGTTTGTTTTTTATGTAATACTTTGCTTTAAATCACAGTTTGTAATTATGCAATTCACCTCTCTTCTGGTTGTTTAGTTCTTTTTTTTTTATTATGTCAGTTGTGTGGGAGTTTTTCACCTTGAAAAAAAAAAATCACAAAGAAAATTCAGAATTACAATTTGTGAACAGAAAGATCTACAGTAGATGTTATTTGTAGTTCCCCTTCGGGGGGAACTTCAGCACTATAAGTGGATTTGATTGTAAAATCCACGCATTGGGAGGTTCGGTTCAGAAGCTACTCGTCTGAAAGAGTATTGAACGGGCCAATTAAGAATGAATTGGCAGCGCAAGCCTGCGCAGGTGAGCGGCATAAGCAATCAACTGAGTATATAAGCTCACCTGGCGCCAGCAGACGCTATCCTTTTCGCTTCAGAGACTTTCTGATCGAGTCGATGAGGGTTCCTCCTGCTGTGACCAGCGATTCTGAGCGAACGAGAGCATTCTCCCGGTCCAGAGTGTGTACACGCAGTGGCAGACGGTCGAGCTGGGTTTCTCCCTTGCCCGGCGTTCTTTGGGTCCGGTCCTCCAGAGCGGTGCGTATAAAGTTGCAAACTTCACAGAAAGAGCAACACAGTCGTGCAGCACGTCCTTATCAGGACGGCGCTCCGACTGTGCGTTTCTGGATGCGGTGGTTTCCTGTCCTCGGATGATGGGCGCGGGCACTGCGTTACATGTCTGGGGGTCCAGCATGTTAATGCGCTGCTCGCGGGCAGTTCATGTCGTCATTGCGATGCCATGACTGTTGCGCAAGATCGCGGTTAGCCTTTGCAAAAGGGTGAACCACCCCAGTTGTCCCCTGCTCTGCAGCGGGCACTCGGGCAGATCTGAGGGTTTCAGCGAGAGATAATCCGTCGCCCACGGGCCCGCGGACCTCCCGCTCCTCTAAGCGCTCCATCCAAGCTTCGGGCGGGGGAAGCGATCCGTCTAACAGATGGTAGCCCTTACGCCCGATGACACCGGAGACCAGATGTCCACCGCGGCATCGGAGGGTGGGCTTTCATTGTCCGATGATGATCCAGACCCGCTCGCCCCCTTCGGGCTGGTGAGCGCTGTCACTACGGATCCTGAAACGGACATGTTAGCAGTGCTTTCCCGGGCTGCTTCGGCCGTGGGTTGGAGATGGTTTATCCCCCAGCTCCGCGGCCGGACCGACTAGAGGGGCGTTCCCTTCTTCCCGGAGGTGCACAGTAGGCTCACGCGGTCTTGTAAAGCACTTTTTTCTGCTCGTGCTGCGTGTTCCTCCACCCTAACCACTCTTGACGGTGAAACAGCCAGGGGGTATGTGGCGATTCCTCAGGTTGAGTGCGCGATGGCGGTAAATCCGCGCGGCGCCTCTTCTTGGCGGGGTCCGCCTCGTCTCCCATCCAAAGCCTGTAAGTTATCTACCTCCCTCGGAGCTAGAGCTTACATAGCTGCGGGCCAGGCTGCTTCCGCCTTGCATGCGATAGCCACCTACCAGCGCTACCAAGCGCAGGCGCTGGCCGAGCTGCACGAGGGTGGGTCCAACCCAGGCTTACGAGCTTCGCACCGCCGCCGACTTAGCTCTTCGGACTACTGAGTCCGCTGCGTGTGCGTTGGGGAGGACGATGTCCACATTAGTGGTCCAGGAGCGCCACCCCTGGCTGATATGCGCAAAGTCGACAAAGTCCGCTTTCTTGACTTCCCCATATCCCCAGCCAGGTTCGGCGACACTGTCTGTGAATTCACCCAGGAATTCAAGGCGGTGAGAGAGCAGTTGGTGGGTGATGTCTTATCGGCGGTCCGTAGCCCGCTCCGCCCGCCGTGCCATTCATACCTGCTCCTCGCCGAAGGCGCCTGCCTACGAGAGCTGCTCCGCCCCCGCACACGCCTCCGGCGAAGCGAGCGCGTCGGGCACCTCGGAAGCAGGCAGCCCCCCTGCCCAGAACGCCGCTAAGTCCGGCAACGGACCGCGAAGCGCCCCTGGGACAGGCCATCTGGAGAAGAGGGAACTTGCTCTTTCCCCGCTGGAGGGCGGGGCCCCATTTCCAACGGCACTTTTTACTGCCATGAAAACATTATGAAAGGGCACTTTTTACTTCCCCAGATGTGACAGCCCGAAATCTGCCAGTCTGGGACGCTATGCTTTCTAGCTTGCAGATTCGGTGCGTTTCGCCAGTGGCTCACGAGCGCTGGGAGGACGGTCTCCTTTCTCCCACCCCTCGAGCCTCCCCTCCGGAGCTCGGGTTTGGAGTGAGAGCAAATATCTCACCTCCAGCTTTTCCGTGGGACCCGCGAGCTTTCCGGATCAGCACACCCACTCCGCGCTGCCCCACTGCTGGTACGTCAGCGATTGTAGCGATGAGTCCATTAGCGAGAGCTCTGCCTGCCTGGTTAGCGCGGGCCAGCTCTTCGCGGTGGCTCATACGCACAATCAGACTCGGCTATGCGATTCAGTTCGCCAAACGGCCCCCCAAGTCACGGGTGTGTATTCACCAGGGTCAGCCCCCTGTCCGCCCCTGTCTTGCGAGAGGAGATTGCTGTCCTCCTGGCGAAGGATGCAATCGAGCCGCTCCCTCCAGCCGAGATGGAGAGCGGGTTTTACAGCCCACGCTTCATCGTGCCCAAAAAGAGCGGTGGGTCACGGCCAATCCTAGATCTGCGCGTTTTGAACCGCTGCCTGCACAAGCTGCCGTTTAGAATGCTCACGCAGAAGCGCATCCTCCGGTGCGTTCGTCCTCTGGGTTGGTCTGCAGCATTAGACCTGATGGACGCGTATTTCCATGTCTCCACTCTTCCTCGCCACCGACAGTTTCTGCGGTTTGCGTTTGAAGGTCGAGCTTGGCAATACAAAGCCCTCCCCTTCGGGCTCTCTCTGT